AAGACAGAGTCAGGATACAGGATGATCTCAACAGGCTGGAAAACTGGGCTAAAATAAATTTAATGAATTTCAGTGGGGATAAATGTAAAGTTCTGCATTTAGGTAGGATTAATCAAATGCATAATTATAGGTTGGGGGAGACTAGTCTTAGCAGTAGTATGTGTGAAAAGGATTTAGGAGTCTTAGGAAACCATACACTGAACATGAGTCAGCAGGGTGATGTGGTTGCTAAAAAGGCAAATGCAATTTTGGGTTGTATCAACAGAAGTATAGTGTCAAGATCACACAATGTGATGGTACCATGGAGTATCGTGTTCAGTTTTGGGCACCACAATTTAAGAAGGATATAGACACGCTGGAACGTGTCCAGAGGAGAGCAATGAAGATGGTGAGGGGTCTGGAGACCAAGTCCTATGAGGAAAGGTTGAAGGAGCTGGCTAGATGGCCATCTGACAGCAATGTGGATTCTGTGAACTTAGGCAGATCATGGGAGTGAGGACAGGAAAGGTTGCCTCAGTGCTTAGTTCTTGTGGACCTTTTTTACACGCTCAGGGAAATGCTGATTGCCATTTTGGGGTCATGAAGCAATCCTGGAGGGTTTTTTGTCATCTTCTGGGAATGGAACAGCTGTCACTGCAGGTGTGGAGGGGGGAGGCATTTGTGAATTTCCTGCATTGTGCAGGGGGTTGGACTAGATGAACCTGGAGGTCCCTTCCAACTCTAAGCAGAAAATGGTCTCTTCTTTTATCTTCCTCCTTGATCTTTCTTCTGCTCTTTGATCCTGCCATTGCTGTCAAGAGTTTGCCTTCCTTCCTGATCAGTGTGTTTATGGTTCAGTCCCCACCTGGCTTAATGTTTACCTCTGACATTGTTCGTTCCGGATTCCTCGAGTTCTTTCCCCGTTCCTACAACTGTATGCTGCCCGGTCTTCATGGACCTGTCCTCTGGCTCCTCCTTTCCCCCTGTCTATCCTTCCCCTATTCTCTCTTCTTTCACTTCGGCCCATTATTTTTCTACAGATGATCATTCCGCTTTGGAACAGGGAGTTGTACCAGCTGGCATGCGGTTTAGCTCCAGCTCCAAGATATGGCTGCTTCCTTTGGGAGAATCCTCCCTCACCCACCGTTATCTGCTCAGGCACAAAATGCAGGCCCACCATGTCTCCCTGTGAAGGAGCCCGCCTGGCCTCCTCAGCTCTTCCCTGCTTTAACACTCAGGAAGGGATGGAGACCCCCATTTTAGCACGTGTCAAAGAGAACAGCGGCCCTTTTTTTTGCAAGCCCTTCTTTGTAAGTGCCGCTATTCTTTGCTCAAGTGCCTGTACTCAAGTCCTTGTCTCCTTTATGGCTGGCAGAACAACAAAGGTCTGTAAAAAGCCCCAGGCTCCTGCAGGGAGAACTCTGTCGGGAAATGGGAGCCGTGGGGGCAGCAGCCGGTTCATTCGCTGAGCCGGTGCCAAAGGTGCCACCCACCTTCCCAGCCACGTCACATTTGGATCTCACCCTCAGTCTCCTTCTGGAGGCCTCCCCCCCCCCAAAAAAGAGAAAATTCCTCTGTCCATTCTTATAATAAACACATCATGAATCATTCATCTTTAAGAGATTATGCAAATGGGGGGGGGACATAAAATCAATAACAATCAATAACTGCAGCTCTTTAATTGCCAGAAAAGACATTTTTAAGAATGAGCATTATCTGCAGCCCCTTCTTGGGTAATGGCACCATTAATTCAAGCGCTGGATCCTCGCCCAAGCACAGCCGAATCCCCCCATCCCCCCGCCCCACACCTCTCGGAATGGGTGTTCTCAATTTCCACTCGCTGCATTTCCCCCTCATTACTGCTGGCGTGTAACTCCGAATGTTAATGGCTCCTGCTTTTTTGTTACTCTGCGCCTGATTGAAAAGTCGCATACAGATTGCGATGTTAGTGCTAAGCGGCCACCTGGGAACCTCAAGCTGGGTCTGGAATGAACTTTCCTCACTCTTGGAGCCAGATGGATCAGCCAGGAGTGATCCCGAGCGGGGCTGGGACGGTTCCAGGGCAGGAGGGTGGGGAACAAAAGGGAAGCCGGGTGCCT